ATACACCCACTCTATCCTAAGGCTAAAGGGCCTCCTCCTCTACCAATGGGAAAGATAATTAAACATACAGAGATACCTAGTCCTCCTCCATTCCCTACTCCACCATTAGACTCTTTTACATTAAGTGATTTCTTGTTGTGTAGGCTGATACAGCTAGGGGAGTTACTAGGAGATTGGTGTCATCATCCTAGTTTGCTTCTTTTAGCCACATCAAGTGGTCAGTGGAAACCTCAAGTCATTGATGAGGATGATGATGACAACAATAATAAACTTATCTTTGAAAACTTTGGTCATTCAATAATAAGAAAAATAATATCTAAAACAAACTAACTTTTAAAATTTTTTTATAATTATTATTTCATAACCGAATGTATAGATTTCATTGATTGTAAGAATTAATTTTTACTTATTTCTGATGGTTTTTTGAAAAAGATGGCTCCAAAATCACCAAAATTTTTATTACATTTTAAATACATAATGATGTCCTTATGCTGTGTAGATAGTTTGAGCTGATTCGGACTTCAATTTTTCAAGTTATGACCTTTTTAAAAATTTACAGAAAGTTTGAGCTGATTTTGGCTAATATTTTTTGAGTTATAAGTCTTTAGAAAAACAAGCCTTTTTGGCTATTGTTTTCAGAATAATGCCTCTAAATACCCTATTATATAACATTTTTGATACATATTGATGTCCTTATGTATGTAGAAAGTTTGAGCTAATACCGACTTTAATTCTTCAAGTTACAACCATTTTTAAACATCAGCAAATTTCTGAAAAATTAACGAGGCTATAATAACCTAGCATATTTTTCAGAAATTTGCTGATTTTATAGCCCATGTGCATGTTTTGTCCAAAAATGAAAATTACCACAAGATTCTCTTACTACTTAGAGTAGAGAGCGGGAGGGAAAGAATTAATTTTTATAGTTCAATCTTCATGACTTTATCATTTTTTCAGTATTAAAAAATCATATTGAGATTTACAAAACTGACGGGAGTCCAATTCTAATACCATAGTCACTTTAAATTTAAGTGAATGTTAGAAATATAGGTACATGTAAGTAGAGTTAGAGACAAAATACAGTTCCATTGCTTTATAGCACTAATGGCAGATGTCCATATAGTGCTGTTATGATTAGAGTGAAAAGAATAGACTGCAGACTGAAAGGTATATTTTATGACTGTAATATAAACTTACACAATGTAGAAAAGCAACATGATTATTAATATAACAATAATAATAAAATACTAAGACTGATATGCATAACTCTGCATCACATATACAGTGTATAGTGCACATGCAGCAATGAATTAATAATAAATATTAGGTTAAAATACAATATTTGGTTTTAATGTTACTAGCAATAGATTTCTCTTCTATTGTATCCAGTGCTGTAGCTAATGATGACCAACTGGGACCTCCTTTCTCTCTCACTTTATCTTCTCCTCTTAACCAGGCAGACATACACTCACGGAAACACTCCACTGGATCTCCTCTATTCTTCTTGTCTATATCCACTAGTCTAGGATCATATAATCCTAACTGTAGACCCAGCCTGTGCCATACAGAATAAGGCAAGTGTTGATCTGATATTAATTGTTCAATGACAATATCAAGATCTTTAATATCTATAAAAATAATAAATTATGCATAAAGTGTAATAAATGTGTTACTGTGTACATACATAAAGTCTACACTCCCAATATATAGATGTAGCAATAATTTGTGATTTTATGTATATAACATACCTAGCTTTATTGTGGTCAATGGTGTCTTGAATTCTGAAGTCATTCCAATCATTTCCTATACACAATAATAATAGTAATAACAAAGTAGTAGTAAATAAAGCCGCACAATGACAACCCACAGTTATGACAATTAGACTGAGTATAGTTTGTTAAGAAATAGAGTTAGATTTAAAGATATGACCTCTTGATTATTAGTACTGTGTTAATTCTTACCTTAATATCACGTCCTCCTAATAGTGACAGGTTAATAAAATCTGATACTGATTCATCAGGTAGGATCTTCTTCAATTCTGTACGTCTAGTACCAGTGGTAACTAGAAATGGTTGTTGTTCAACCACTGCTGAGAATACAGCTTTTACACTATACACTGTTCTTTCTCTTGGTATATTCACAGGATAGGCTAGTTCTTTAGGATCAATAACTAACTCTTTTACCTCTAGACTGGGACAGGATTCTTTATAAACACTCATTACCTCTCCTATCACATCTCTTCTTAGAGACACCATATTGTCGCTGTAACCTCTCTCACAGGACATCATTACTAGTACACACTGGCTCTCATCCACAATCTCTACTAGTGATCCTACACCATGTCCATTAAACCAATAGAGTCCATTCTTCCAAAATGTACAGTAACGATTTAACTTGTCATCTTCTTGAGGTAGAGCCATTTTGTAAGCAACATGTAATGAGAGGACATGGAAGTATCGAGGAGGAAAGAAATGATGCTCACTAGTACACTGAAGACACCAACCAAACCGGTACATTTGACGAGTCATCTCATCAGGTCTATCAGTAGATAAAAGACATGGAAAGAACAACAACCTTTCTCCTCTTCCTCCATCCTCCTCCTCTTCCACTGCTAACTGATGGAGGTTTGTCATTCTTAGGAAAGATGGATTCATTCTTTGACAGAGTTCCATGTTCTTCAGGAAACAGATCAACATGTCAGGATCATATTTAGGGAAGAGTCTAGTCAGACTAGACACACTTACAATACCAGTATTGCTAGCAATGTCAACGTGTTCTTTAAATGTCTCTGGAGCAAATAGAATCCCATCAACCTCAGTTAGTAGTATACCCTTATTTACAACAACCCATAACTTGTCTTCACTTTTAAGAACACTGATCAAACCAGTTGACTGCAATGAATGAAGAGTATCCAAGACGTCTTCTCTCTTATCTGGTATAAAGTAATTATTACTGTCGTTACCAGCAGACATTAGATCAGAGAGAGTCAGTATATTCTTTTTCCCTTCCTCCAATAGACCATACATCATGTGACAATAAAGACTTAAATTCCTTCCACTTGTATTACGAATGGACTCACAGGCATTAGACAATTTATTAAAGAAAAAATCCATACCACTCCCACCAAGCTTACGACAATCTAAGAAGACATTATCACACCTTTCCCTTACAATATTCTCCTGTATTTTCTCCTTTCTCATTCTCCTTTCAACAGGATTACTTATCTCATCCACATGACTGACTATTACAATAACATGGCATTCATTAAGAGCTTTCTGTGCTTCATTTCTCACAACTGTTAGCCACTGATGAAGCTGTTTGACTGCTTCCTTCTCTAATATATTGACTACTATCAGGAACACACCACCAGAACCTTGTAACAGATTCTCAATGACAGCACTGTGACTGGAGTAGTATTCGGAATGACCAGCAAAATCATGAAGAATGATGTTACCCAGTGTCCTGTGTTGTAGTTTATAAGGAATGATACCAGCAGTACAGGGCACTACCCCTCCAACATTCCTAAAGGAACCAAGAGCAATAGAACCAGTAGCTGTGTCATTGATGACATGACTAAGAGTACTTTTACCAGCTCCAGGATTACCCACAAGGAGAACGTTAACATAAGAATCAATTGGATGAAATACTTTAATGTTGCCAAACTTCTTGAAGATAGCAATGACAGTATCTCTATCATACTGTCTCCCTTTCGCTAGTTGTAACGGTGTCACCCCCTCATTGTCTTTAGCCAAAGGATCACAATTACAAGTTGATAAAAAAAATTCAATAACTTCGGGTGTGCCACAATCAGCAGCAACATGAAGAGATGTCCATCCTTCTTTATCAGTAACCGTTGTATCACAGTTGCATTCATTAATGAGGTACTTTACAACATCTATGTGTTTAACAGCATGATGAAGAACGGTCAGACCAATAGTATCACGATATTGTTCATCCATTATATGACCATTGATGTTTATGACCATACACTTCAAGACATCAAGTAATCCACCTTCCCTGGCTACATATTGAAGAACGGGCCTGCCGGGATACCCAGTAGCTATACCCATCATTGGATCACAGCCACACTCTTTAATAAGATATCCAACTATAGCGGCGTGATTACCTTTAGCAGCAGTATAAAGACAGGATTCATGATTGTAGTATCTATGTGGATCAAAACGGTAACTAGTGATGAGATCTCTTGTAACATCTAACCAGCCATTCCTTATAGAATGATAAAGCAGGTAAGGTTCATCCTGGTAAAGGACTTCAGGATCCTGTAAACGTAATAACCGAACAGCTTTTTCATGATCTCTTCTTACAAATGCACCCAGAAGTCGCCGTAGTGCCATCTTCTATTAATCCTCTCAATGTGCATTTTGGATCACGTGCCGTTTTAAATTCTAGATCTTACACTAGGCAACATTTTTGTGGTTAGTACTGGTTACTTTGATCTTGTAATGCACTTATCAATGTTAACCCCCACTCCCCTAGACACGGGCATAGGTGGGGCAAAGTGGGGATTTGACTTTTATAGCTGTTCAATATCCCAGTCTCTAATATCTATGAATATCCCCACTACTGGGGGGTCAATTCTTTGTCAAATCCCCTGGTAGAAGACTGGGGGAATTGACTAATTCTTTGTTACTATCAACAGAAGCTGAGCCATGATTAAGCCCTACTACGGTTGCAAATTGCCAAGAGTCACAAGACTATAGTCTCCTCATGCAGTTCTATCATTTCTGTCCTGCTCATAAGGCTGTGCCTGCATATATATAATTATATATAGTTGTTTCATTTTTTAAAATAATATAATACCAAAAACAATAAGAACAATAACAACCATGAAAAACTGATGACACAAAAATTGAAGAAAGGAAAAAAGGCAACAAACAGACTAACAAAAACTGTGGAAGAGTAACAACTAACAAAGGCCTGCAGACAGAAATTGAAATTACATGTATTTTTACAGAAATAATATAGTATAACTTGGTTCACTTAAGAGACCTTCACACATACAACAATACCATTTGTTACAGTTATGACATGCAATCCAAAATGAAGCCTAAATTCACTATAATTAAAGCCACAACCAACACATTGATACGTCTCTTTTGATGCTGTGGAGGTTCTCCTTCTCAGCCAAAAGCTCTCTCCTATCTTGCTTAAGTGCCATAATCTCTTTCTTTAAACAATCACATTTTTCATAGTCTGACATTATGATACATTCAGTTATTCTATTCTCTTTAAAAGTAATGCGATCTCCAATGTCAGTCACTTTCTCTTCAATTTCAACCAATCTTCTTTCACGAAAAGCTTGAGATGTTTTTGAGAACTTCTTTTGTTTTATTGGCTGATAACTGCTCCTTTTTGAGCGAGACTTGCCCTTTTTAAATTGAAAACCTTCATCAATTATCTTCTTTCTTGCCATTGTGATTAGTTCTGACCTTTTTTGCAAAAGTAATTCAGGGTTTTTCATACAAAGTGCTATTGCAGCTTTGTTCATCTCTTTTTGATAATTAGATAAGGGCCGTGAAGATTCATTGCTATAAATAACAGCATGATGAGCAATGTCACTTTGTGTAAAGCCCTATTGGTAAGACAATAAAATAATAAAGAAGGTGCTACATGTAATGACAGTAAATTAAGCATTGTGTGTGCCAATATAGTAGCTACAACATTGTCAAGTCAAAAATAGGAAAGCAATAAGCATACTTAGTATTAACCTATCTATAACAGCAAACTACAAAATTATTAATACAATCTACATGTAGAGCATACAATTGGGTGCTTTAAAAAGATATCATAAAGCATTAATCACCATTAATTGCCTTAAGAGATACACACACAAAGAATTTAACATACTTGTTCAGGTGTTACATCCAAGCTCACAACACCAGTAGGAACAAGTTTCAGTTGTATGCTACTCGCAATTGGTGACTGTACAAAGAATGGCTTGCATGGGGTTTGACACTGAACAGCATTAGTTGCCTACACATAATAAAGTATATAATTATAATAATTTACATGAACATAAACTTACTGTTGCTATTATGGGACTTTCTGTACTCTGGTACATCGCCTTGATGTGACTCCGTTGTGGGATCTGCTGGTCAAGGAGATCAACAAACTCACCCCACTCTTCATCTTTGATCTACGGTATATTTTTTGAAGGATATGATATTAATGCTCATTGATCCAAGAGGGCAGGTATTCAGTTTTATGTTGTCTGCATGCACATCTTCACATTTTAAATAAAGTAACTGTGCATGCACAAAATAATGCCCCCCTTAAGGCCTCTCCAATTTTTAGTCCCCCTTTAACCTATCCATATTGATTTTTTATTATAAACACAATATATACAGGTGATAATCAAATTTTGATAACAAACCACAGCCCTTTCTCGAACTACATGTAAACAGGCGAATTATGGTCTTTTTCTAGTAAATATACTTTGCATGCAAAGGGGACAGTACCTATCTAAGAAAATAGGTGCAGCAATACACAAGCAAATAATTATAAGGCAGAAACGGCCGCGGCACCGGGCGGCACTGACCTGAAAAAAATACGATATCGTTAGCCTGTAGTACGTCCTTAAAAGTCATTTTAAATGACTGTGCTAACGCTTCCTTGTTCCCACCACGAAATTTTACTGGTCTGACCCACTGGTAAAAGTGAACTAGTACAGTTACAGTCTCTTCTTCCTGCGCCATTTTATCACATTTGACTCGTCAAATCCCGTCAAATCCCCACCCTCGGGGTGTCAAAAACAAGAAAATCCCGTATTGAGCCCGACCCTGTCCCGTGACGGGAGGGGTGGGGGCTAATATTGATAGGTGCATAAACGCTAAATAAAATAGCCGCTAACATTAATAGGTTTACAGTAGGTCAAGTTGTCCATGCATTGGAAATAATGAGATTGATGTAGAGTGAGCTCTGCTTACCGTATATGGTATCATTAGCAATAATCATAGCACCTGTATTTATGGGCTACTGTACATGATGCAGTGCAAATTTGTTTAAGCAACAAATATCATTTTATTTTGAATCTTTGTATTTTTATTGATAATAGAAGATTATGAGAAGCTTAAAGCTAAAGTTGCTGAAATATTAGAAGAGAAGACACAAGTAGAGGAGAAGAAACAGATTATTACTGGTTAGTGTATCATCAGTACTTAATTTTAGATGAGAGAATATTCTATTAATGTAGAAGATTATGAGAAACTTAAACTCAATGTTGCCGAACTATTGGAAGAGAAGGAGGAACAATATCTCAAGGAGAAACAGATCATTATTGGTTAGTTAACTATACACACAGCATGTATTAGATGAGAGAATATGTTTATTGTGTAGACGACAATCAAAATCTTAAAACTGGCATTTCTGAGAAAGACAAAATTATAGCCAAATTGACATCACAAGTAGAGGAACAATCACAGAATGAGAAACAGGTCATTACTGACTGGTTAGTGTATCATCATCAATCAATAATAATTATTAATATTCTATTAATTTGTAGACCTTAAAGAAAAGGAGTGGTACATAGCCAAACTAGTCAAGGAAAGACAAGAGAGGGCCCTCAAGCAACCTATCAAAGAGACTATATCCATTGGACTACAATTTAATTACCTGATCCCTTCAATGGGTAAATTATTCATGTACATGTACATACACATGTGAATGATTGTGTGTGTACTATACTGGTATTAGATATGATGTGTGTGTATTGTTTCAGATTCACTAGACTCTAGTGTCATTATAGCTGAACAGAAGCTCTTTATCCTACAAGGAGACAGGTCTCACTCACTCCAGTGGGAGAAATATGGATTCAGATTAGAGTGTCCTCAAGGAGCAGTGTCCAAGGATACTGAAGTAGCTGTTACTGCACTAGCTGGTGGTAATTTCAAGGTACCCAAAGGTACTGTGCTAGTGAGTGCAGTATATGCAATATCAGTATCTAAGGCACTATTAAAACCACTGGTAATAGAGCTACAACATTGTGTGGATCTAAGAAACACTAGTCAGACTGGTTGCCTCAAGTTTGTGAGAGCTCCACTGAAGTCTCCTTACCAGTTCAGTATAGTTGAAGGAGGATGTTTTAGAGCTGGTAAAAGATACGGATCAATAAAGTGTGAGCAGTTCTGTTGTATGGGTATTGTAGCTGAGATGAGTAATGGAGACACACCTAGTGACAGTGAGAGTGAGGAAGGTTATGAGACACCACCTGAAGGTACATGTATGATGGAAATAGTGTTTTATTATTAATAATAGGATCAACTGATGACACACATAATGATAGTGGTAATGGAGCAGGAGAGACTAGTGAGAGAACTGCCTCACCAATAAATACTGGACTATCTCAAGGTATGTGTGACTGTAATTGTGTTGTATAAAGTTTCATTTTCATAATAGAATCAGTAACTGATGACTCTAATCAAAGAGTACAAGATGTTGTATTAACTTCTGGTATGTATACATTGTATAATGTATTAAGTACATTCATAATGAGGTTCTGTATTATTAGGTGCATATAATGTTAGCAATGAATCAACTGAAGATGAGGTGAAGCAAAAACCAAATGAAGACAAAGGTATATGTCACAGTTATTATGTTTTAATTTATAATTCTTATACAGGAGTCACTCTACTGTACACTGGAATGATGTATCATGAAGAGAAGAAAGTTAATCAATGGATGACTACATTTTCTGTTGTTAGAGATTTAGAAGTCCTTCAGCAAGTATGTAATGTATATTATGAAGAATGTCATTTATTAGAATTTTAGTATTTAGGGAATGAACATCCTGAAGCTGAAAAAGATGGACCATTTGTCATATTCAAGTACAATCAACTTGATGGTATCCTTCAGTTGTGTCTACAAGATACTCCATCACTTGAATCAGGATGGGCTGTACATCCTAACCAATCCCCAATGCAAGTATGTACAATGTACTTGTGTATAATACACAGTATGACTGTTACCTATTATTATAGATACGTCAATATGTAGTGGACAAGTTTATAGACAATCCTATGTGTTCCAGTATCCATATATCAGTGTATGCTGAAATTGGTGTTGCTAAAAAACCACTTCATTGTCCCATTGAATTAACTGGAATAGATCCTTCAATAATAATTTACATCAACCGAATACCTCCTCTTTTATCAATGAGTTAGTTTATGATTATTGATTTGTAACTATTATTTGTGACCATAATTGACAAAAGGTACCTTATGGCGGGTAGTGAAATTTGTCTTTCTAGCCTAAGAAATCCAACTTCCTGAGCCCCATTTATCATAAAATTACTCCACAGGATGCAAAAAGTTACCATGAAACTTTTAGAAACAATAGTTCACTAACAGAGCACTCACAGGATGATATTTTCCATTGTAACGATCAATTTTAAAATCCGCCATAAGGGCCCTTTTGTCAATTATGGTCACATTTTATTAATTTATTTGTACAGTAGACAGTACTAGCTCAAGCTCCTTTTCTGCTAGTATCAGTCAAACCAGGAGAAAGACTGAAGAAGGTATGATTGATATTAACATAATAACACACTAATCACTGAATTTGTATCATTAATAGGTACATTTAGATCTGATACTGCTCATAGAGTAATGACAGAATGCACTGGAATGATAAAGGAAAGACTCGATCTGAATACATTAGTGGATAAGCTACTTGAGAAGAGGATGATAAATGATCGAGAGAAAACTAAAGTTCTTGATGAAAGAATGTGGACTAACTGCTAATCAAAGAATGGACGAGCTGC